GATGCCTGCCCTGCCCTGTGATGTGCACCTTTCCACCTCCTTCCCATGGGATTCAAGAGAAGGAGCTGCTGTAGGGGAGGAGGGGGGATGTGTAGGAGAGATGGCACAATTTTTGTCAATGCAGTTGTTTCTGTTTTACAAGGTGGGGTGGGGTTCTCTCTCAAGTGTTATACCATATCTCTAAATTTGTGCCCACTCCTGCTTCTTCCCACCTTCACCCAGGGCTGCTGTGGAGCAAGGATCCAGAGTCTAGGTTGGAAACAGGCGGGAACTAGAAGTTTTGTGCTGCCGGTCTCTACCCCTTGTCAGAGAGAAGGAGCAACTCAGTGCATTTCCTTTTCTGCTTAGGGGCAAGGGGTAGCTCAGTAGGGTCATGATAACTTGCTTTCTGAGGCCCCCGAGGGGAGCTGTTTAACAAATCTAGGAAAAATTTAGTTCCAGGATAAAAAGGATCGTGGCTCTGCTGGGATAGTGCCATCTCAGCCTGGTATACGGTAGGGCCCAGGTGCCGCTGCCATCTGTGCTCAGAACCGTTGGCACCAACAACATGCCCTACCCATTTCTATGAAGTGACCCTTGGCCCTCCTGCTTCTTCCCTTGCCTTGGGGGAGAAGAGTGGGAATGGGAAGGGAGGAGTAACATCTCTGAGCAGCTTAAAGCGGCTGTAAATACCTCAGCCTGGGCCTTGTCCTTTCTTCCCCCCAAAATGTGCCTGATGCTAAAGCCCCTCCCTTGACACCCATGTCCCTTAGAATTTGTCATTGAATGGAAAGGGAAAAAATGCCAGGTGACAGGGGCTTATCTCTGGAGACAGACGGGGTGTTAGCAGTAGGCGGCTCAGTGCCCAGCCATGCCTGTCTCCCACAGGCACCATAACAATCCAAAGCCTTCGTTGTATGTTGACGATGCACTTTTATGAATGTAGTTTCTATCGCTCTTTTTTTAGCCTTTTCACATCATGTAATGTGAGGCCTTGTACTTGTTAATTTATATCTCAGATCATATTTGATGGTTTTTATATATAGCGATTCTAGACTGTTACAGGTGACTGTTGCCTCAAGGGAGAGAAGAGAAAACGAAAGCAGCTGGTTTTGCAGAGAAATTTGCTGATGGTTTGTGCCAAATGGTGCCTATGGGGCCTGGGCCTCTCTCTCTGTTTCCTTCCCTTTCTGCCCACTGGGACTCCTGTCCTGACCTCTGGGGCTATAGGATGCCTCCCTCCTCTTACCAACATTACCACCACTGCCACCATGACCCCGTGGCTCTGTCCTCACCAAGGTATGGACTGGGGACCTCCATCCTGACCAAAGCTACTTTGTGGTAGCTTGGCTTTTCCTCTCAGCCTTCATTCCATAAAGAGCCTCTCACTTGAGGTGAATTCACTGCAGTGAATCCTTTGTCTTCCCCTCCCCCTCAAAAAAAATTCTTCCTATCACATCTCTAGCCCTTTATTCAAACACTCCTTGGGAGGAAACAGAACTCAGGCACTGGCATTGGTGAGACGATTCTGCATATTCCAGGTTCAGACTCTCTCTGGGGTTACATACCAACCCCACAGTAACTACCTGACAGAAAACTTTAAAAAAATTTTTGAACAAACCCTGAAACCCTCCTCCCCGCTGCCCCCCAAGAAAACCCCCAATACAACACTTGATTTTTGTGCCAAAAACTGTGGATATGCTAGCCCAACAGCCTCAGGATTGAGCTATTGCTTAATTTATTATTTTTTATTAAATTATCCAGATTACAAACTGTGGGGGCATAGGACTGTTCTGAGCCCTAGGAGTATCAGGTGCCCTTTGCCACTTAGCCCTGGCCACTCTGGGCTCTGCCAAAGGGCTGGGCAGCTTCATTGCAGGGTGCCGCCATTTTCTCATCATTCAATAAAGCCTTCCTGCTCTGGGTTGCCAGCAGAGGCCCAGGACTGAGGCTGGTTCTTGGTCACCCTCTTGTGCACACATTAGAGGAGGAGCCAAGTGTCTGAATGTGGATTGTGCAGAAGAACTTGCAGCCATAGTTTATTTTGACTATATCCCGACTGAGGGCTTGCAGTGCAAAGCCAGGCCAGTGTAGCGCGTTACTTACAATAAAAGGATCATTTATACAAGCTGGCTGTGGCTCCTCTGCTTTATGGGTAGGAGAGCAGATACTGCAAGCTCAGATGAGAACCTCAGTAGGGCCCCTCGACCAAGGGAAATTGGGACGGTTCTTGGAATAGGGGGTGGTGGTTCTGTATGATGATATCAGATGTTCATTACAGGGGCAGCCAGATGTCTCAATGGATAGAGCACCCGCCCTGGAGTCAGGAGGACCTGAGTTCAGACTTACTAGTTGTGTGACCCTGGGCAAGTCACTTAACCCCATTGCCTAGTCAAAAAAAAAAATGCTCATTACAGCTAGCTATTGTCGTGGGTTCCCATGCCTCTGCATCTCCACTCAACAGAACCGTGGGAAAGCACAAAGGTCACACAGAATATGGGCAGGAGCCAGGGTGCTCCTGGAAGAAAGTACCTGGCTGTAGCATAAGCTGGGGGGGGGGGGGAAGGAGAGGCGTGGTGATTGTTTGGCCCTCCCTCTAATCACATTTGGCAATTATTGTGAAGTTATATATTAAGTATTTATTATATATTATGAAGTTACCTATCACTCCTGAAGAGTAGCATCTACTTACCACGGTGTCCTTTTTCAGATGGGAAGGGGCTCAGTTATCAAGGGGAGAGCACCAACCTGGTCTTTGGGGGCCATTTCTTTCTTAGGCTCATTTTGGCTAATTCTCACATTGTCTTTCTGAGCACAGAGTGGGCAGCTCTGGCCAGCTTGTCTATCCTGGTTCCCTGCTGAAAATGTCACTAAAATGTAACCAGGGATCATGTGGGCATGGGGTATCTGATGGTTACTTCAGTCCAAAGATGACTCCTTCCATTTCCCAGGGACCTCAGGTATTCCCTGGGTTACCATTCATTATGGGTCAGTACAGAGGCTGTACTCCAGCATGAGCTCCTTCTCGGTCTCCCTCACACTTATGCACCTCCCACAAACTGCCTGATGGTTCTTCGCTTTCAGGGTGGGTTTGGAGCCTTGCCTGTTCCATGGCTATGAAACCAATTGTATAAAGTAATGATGACAACATCCCTCTCTCCCCCTAGGCCTTCCACCCCCCCCCTTTTGTCTACCTGTGGTAATCAAGAGTTCCTCAAGCTTAGTTGTTCCAGAATCAAGAGTTTGGACAACAGGGTTTCAAGACAGGAAAAACCCCAGACTTCCTGCCTAGATTCCCCCAGGGAGTCCAGCTGCCCTTCCCCCCTCACCCCCCCCCCCGCCCTTCCTTATTTACTTTTGCTGTAACCCAAGACATCCCTCTGTACTTCCTGCCTCAGACCCCTTGTTAGAGGAACCATGCAGCCCTGAACTGCTGGGGGAGCTTCTAGAGTCATTGCTGCAATGGAGCACAGAGGTGGCCTTTCATCTTTACTCCCTATGGTCTACTGGGGGAGGGAAGTATGTGACTTCAGGGATCAGACTAGGATCGCTGGTCTGGAAAGAAAAGCAGCACCTGACTTTTCCTGTGGGGAAGCTGGGAGCCCTGATGACTATAAGTAAAAGTGATAAGAGCTTTGTGGTCTTGCTCTTTCAGTACCTGTAACACCAACCCTGAAAAAAAGAGTAGAAGGGGGAGACAGGAGCAAAAGGAAGCAGTAGGGGCTGGGCATTGAGGCATTGTGTCCAGAATGTGGAGGTGAAAGTCTGTCCCACTGGACTCTGCCCTTCTCATCAGGTCACATCTGGAGTAGTGTGTGCTCTTCTGGGCACATTTTCAGGAGGACCACAGCCAGGATGCTCGAAGTCCTGGAGATGGTGACTGACCAGAAAAGGCATGAGGGACGTGATCACTTCCTTTAAAAAGTAGCCATGTGGAAGGCTTTCTGTATAAGGAAAAACCTAAGGCTACTTGAGGGCAAGGTATAGTTTTGACTTTTGTCTTTGTATCTCCAGAGCCTCATATGGTGTGGCACAGGGTAGACTTCAGTTCAATTCTGTTGAATTCAAGTTGTCCAAAAGTAGGTTGGGTGACCTTGAAGGGAAAAGGGGGTGTGCTCTCCATCATTGGTCTTAAAGCTAAAGGTGGATGACTTTGTCAGAGATGCTGTATAGATAGAAGGGATTCCCACTTAGGTACAAGTTGGACTAGTGGACCTCTGAGGGCATACAGTAGATGTGTCTTCTCATCTTTCCTTTCTGAGGGGGCAATTGAGGCAATGGAACTTTGACCAACACGTAACTGTTTTTAGTCTCTGGTCATTTGCTTGATTGGAAGTGGCGGGCGGGAAGGGGAATGAGACAATCAGTTTTCACGTTGATCTCAAGCCCTTCTATCCAGTGTGGTGACAGGTGTGCGCGCGCACAGACACACACACACACACACACACACACAGCAGGGAGGTGGAAAAAGAGGGAGAGGCACTAGGAAATATTCCTTGGGGAGAAGGGATTTCAAGGGTAGCTTCAATAATTGAAACCATCTGAAATAGGGTTTTGTTTTTACCAGGGGGTCCACGCAACCCTCAAGGGATCCAAACACAGATTTCAAGGGGAATGTGAACTTGGGATGGGAAAAAAGTTGCATCTGTTTTTTTTTCCACTAATGTCTAACTGAAATTTAGCATTTCCTTCACTTATTTAAAAAACATTATTTTGAGAAAGGGATCTACAGGCTTCACCAGACTACCAAAGGGGTCCATGACACAAAAAAGATTAAGAACTTGTGATTTAAAAGATCAGTTTGGGTTTGATGGTCCATGGGAGGAAAGGGTAGGGGCCTGGAGTGGTGGGGGGGGAGTCCCTTCCTGGTCATCCCTTAAAAGGGGTCAGGGGTGTGCTAAGTCAGAAACCTACACCCTGGATCTACCAGAGACCTCTCCCAGCTTTCATCAATCCAATCCCAGCCCTTTGATCAATTTCTTATCTCCCACACCTCAGGGCCAATCACACAGACACAAAGATAGACTCTTGGGTACATGTTTAAAATAGGTTCACAACAGTCAAGAGGGGCACAATGGGGGGAGGGAGGGCAGAAGGGGCAAAGGGGACTGGCTACTTTGGTCCCACAACCAGTCTTTATAGTTCACAACCTGGCAAGGGTTGTTTTAGCTCCTCTTCCCTGATTCCAGAGTGGCAAGTAATGTTTCCAAGCTCTCCCTGGGTTTACAGCAAGGGTCTACAGTTAGAGACACACCTCTGCCCTCCCCCCCACCCTACCCGGGCATCATCACTGTGCTTTACTAGTCAACAGGGGGCACCTTAGCCTCTCCTTTCTCCCAGATGTCTTGGGTGTAACTCAGAACCAGAACGTGGACAGAGGTAGATGGGAGGGGAGAGGGGGCACAGGGCCCTCATTGGCAGTGCGGAGCCCTTGGACCCTGGAGGAGGTGGTGGGCAGGCTGGCTCCCAGCTGGAGAGAAGGCACCAAGATAGGGGGAAATCCTTCCCTGGGGCCTGCTTCTCTGAGGCCTACTGAGGGAAGGGGGTATGAAATCAAACTGGAGGGCCCAAGTGGGAATGAGGTGCCCCCTGGGACAAAGTGGGCTAGCACTGAACCCCCACCCCCCTCTGCAGACAAAAGACAGCAAGTTAGCCCCCGTCATCATGGAACCAGCCTGAGCAACCCCCATACTTGTCCTTCCCCCCTCCCCCCAATTCAATCTTTCCCAAGCTCCTCCCCACCCCACCCCAAAGGCCCCTGGGATCCGGGGTAGGAAGAGGGCATCCGTAGGGCCTCAGGCTGTTTTGGTACCACTGGCCACCTCCTTGTGGGCCCAGAGCTCCTTGTGCTGCTTTCGTCCAAAGCCTTCATCGTAGTTGCCTTTACTCTTAAACAGCTGCTGGAAGTGGGGTTTACAGTAAAACTCTCCATGAAGTGCTGCGTAGCTGCCCAGACTGCAAAGGAGAAATGCCCAGCCAGGGAGTGAGGGGGGGCGGCAAAAGGCACCTGTCCCTACCTCCAGCTACCCCCATCGCGGTGCAGAAGGGGGAAGGGAGCCTTGTGCAAGGGCCAGGGTGAGGGAGCAGTGCCCATGCCTGGCGGTGGGGCTCTGGACCTCACCCTCACCTAAGCTTGGTGTGACAGTGCTTGCAGCAGAAGCAAGTGTTGTGAAAGATGAGCTTGTCAGCCACCAGACGCTCCATGGGGTAGACAGTTTTTTGACACGCTGCACAAGTTTCCTTCACCTGTGCCCGAAGGCTGAATGACTGGTGGAGGGAAGTGGGCACAGTATTAGCCACAGGGAAAGGACTACTCCTCCCCACACAATATAACATAATTCCCATCCTCATCGTCCCCCACCCCCATCTTGATCCCGTGGTGAAAACACACCACCCGGGGTCTTTACCTTGGAGCGCTGCACTGTGTTGCCGCTAGGGCCGCTCTTGGCTTCCTGGGGACACAAGGGAAATTAGAACATGGCTGAGCCCCTGGTCCTGACATCCAAGCCTATGTCAAGTCTAAGGTAGCATCCCCTCTGCCTTCCCCATCTTCATCCACCCAGTTCAGAATATCTACTTTCTGTTTCAAGGGGCAAAACAACTCCTCAACCCCACCATCCCTGGGGCTGGACACAATGGCCTCTACAAACTGCCCCAATCCCCTCCCCTCCACCCTGAGGGGAAAAGGGTGGTTAAGATGGTGGCCGTGGTGATGCGGTTACCTACATGAGAGGTGGTGGCCTGGGCTGCTCCAGCATCCTGAAACATGGTGAAGGCAAGGATGGGGAGCACAGGGGATGGGGGAGTGCAGCCCTCAGCACTCTGCAAGGGGAAGTTAGTCAAGAGGGTGTCTAAGCCTGCATACCCAGCACCCTTCCCCCTCTCCGCCTCCCTTTTTACCCCACCTTGCACTTAAGGGGTGGTTCGGGAGCGGGGAGGGTGTTGTTTACAAGAGAAGCATAATCAGGGAGGTGGGGGGGCTGTGGTTGGGACTTTCCCTAAGTCATTTCCTGTTGCTTTAGGTCCAACCACTTCCGCCTCCCACCCTCACCACCCTCTTCATTCAGCCCACCCATCAGTGAAATATGTTTGGGGGGGGGGAATTGACGGGGAGGGTGGATAGAGAAAAGCTGGTTGGGAGAGGAGAGCCAGAGAAGAGATGGGATGCAGTGAGAGGAGGCTGAGGCAAAGCAGTGCTGGGGGGTAGGAGGAAGGGCCCCTGAGGTGCCACAGTAACGAGGGACTCTAGAAGAGTGACGTGGAGTTGTTTTAAGCAGGCGTGGGCCTGGGGCTGGGAGTGGAGAAGGGATGCTCAACCACAGTGAGAAGCCAGTGTCCTGGGGTTGACCCCGCGGCTCTGTCAATCTAACAAGGATCTGAGAGAGGCACTACTGTCCTTCGCCTCCCCGAACGCTCAGGCTTCCTTCCTCAGGGCCCCAGCTCCTGGACAGCTCAGTCACCCTCGTCCCCCATCCCCCTCACCACGCGCATCCCATAGGGGAAGCGCTGCCAGAGCACATTCTCACGCCTCCACGCTCGGCCAGGACCCTAGCCTTGCAGCCGGCTGCATTCTCAGCCCTGGGAAGTGTCCAGCAAACTAGCCCACCCAGGGTCTCCCCAGCCTGAGTGCTCTCTCTCCCGAGGCTCCGAGGCCTCTCCCTCACCTCCAGTCCCCTCCCTCCGGCCAGGGGCGGCCAGACCTATCCACACGCCCCAGTCTAGCCCGGCGGGAATCAGCTGACCCCCCGGGATCCTGGACCCCTGCCCCTGAAGAGGACCCCGACGCCCCCCCAGGGGTCTCTAATTGAGCCCCCTAACTCATTCCTGCGACCCCCCCAGGGGTCCTCAGCTGAGTCTCCCACTCTAAACCCTGAGGGACCCCAAGAGGTCCTGGACTCAGCCTTCTCCTCTGCCATCCTGCTGCCACCCCCACCCCCAGACTCCTTAGATGAACCCTTCCCCCTCAACCCCACGGCCCCCGAGGGGTGGCAGACATACCCTCCCACCCCATCGCGCCGCTCCCGGGGTCCCCAGATGAAGCCCCCCCACCTTGCCCCGCGGGGTCCTGGACCCAGCCTCCCCCACCCCTATCCTGTGGCCCCTTCGGGGGCCAGACTCCCGCCCCCACCGTGCCTATCCCGCGGGTCTCACCCAGGCCCAGGCTGGGCCGCCACCGGGGCCAGGTGGAGCGGGTCTGCTTCCCGGGGGCTGGAGGTGGCCGCAGCCGCCGACGCCTCTGGAGCCCCAGCCGCCTCCGCCTCCTCCTCCGCCGCCGCTGCCTTATCCTGGCGCTGCCCCCAGCCGGGCCCCCGCCCCCCGCCCGCCCATTGGCTCCGCGCGGCCCCGGAGCCGCCTCTGGGTCCCCCAACCCGGCTCCCCGCCCCGCTTTGTCTCCTCTCCCGCTTTCCCTCCCTCAGACCCCCGCCTTTGTCTGCCCCCAAACCCGGGAGGTTGGCGCCAAAGACTCGGACTGAGCCGGCCGCCCCCCACCCTAGCCCCGAGCCCCGCGCCTGCCCTTCTGGTTGCCTCTCCTCCGACCAAGCCTGGCTTCTCCCCGTCCCAAACTCGTTCCGCTCCGCGCCCCAGCCTCTAACGGCCCGTCGAGGTCCCCCTAGACCTCGCGCTCGCTTTCAGCTTCGGTCCCGCCCTCCTCTCCTATCCCAGCCGGCCTCGGGGCGCTTCAGTGCCAGCCCAACATCTCCCCTCCCGCCCGGGCCTTGCGGGGGTGGGGGGGGACAGGAACCAGGAGTGCGAGGGAAGAAGGGGTCCTGCCCCTCCAGAGCTCCCGAGGAGGGGGCCGCCTGTGTGTGTTGGGGGATCCCCTGGCAGGGTGTGTCACGGGGACAGCACCTGGGACATTTGTCCCTCTTCCCGCCACATCAGACTTCCTGGATCATTTCTCGGCCTCAGTTTCCTCTGGATTCCCCACTGGCCCCCGTGGGCGCGGTGTCCCACCGCCCGCTGCACGGCTCCCACTCGGCTCTTGGGGCCCCGGGGCCGGGCGCAGGGCTGGGACACTCGGACCCCAGTCCTCCCGGGCTGCTCAGCCAAAGTCCTCTCTTTCACCGAACTCGATGCCGGGGGTGAATCGCTGCCTTTCTCCAGGTGCCGAATTTCCTTACCAAGATCTAAGGCGACCTCGACACCTCCTTCGACCACCCGAAACTGACCCAGCCAATCAATTTCCTCCACTAGCCTTGGGTTTCTGCTCTTACTTTATATTCTTGGGGGAGGAGGCAGGGTATTTCAATTAGGTAAGATAACCAGGACGCGTTTGTTTGTTTTTAATTATTGATAACTATTTACATCACCCTAACTCTAATCCCTTCCCCCTCTCAGGAGACCGTAAGACGGAAAAAAAAAATCAAGAAAACTCAACAAAATACTAAACAAAGTGACGTTACATGCAATGTTCCATACCCATAGTCCCCCACCTCTGCAGAAAAGGAAGGGAATTGTCTTCTCTTTTCTTTGGAGCCAAGCTAGGTCATTACAATTGACACAGGTCCACAGATGCCCCTGAAGCCAGGATGATAAGATCTATGTGGGTGATGAAGGATAATACTCCATGCACTTTGTGAACAGCAAAACATTCACCAGAGAAGAAGGGACACTAATGCATTGTCAACCATTCTGGAGAACAGTTTGGAACTTTGCCCAAAGGGCTATAAAACTGTGCATATCCTTTGACCCAGTAATATCACTACAAGGTCTGTACCCCAAAGAGATCCCCCCTTCCCTCCCCCCCAAAAAAAGGAAAGGAAAAGGACCTATATGTCCAGAAAATATTTATAGCAGCTCCTTTTTGTGGTGGCAAAGAATTGGAAACTGAGGTACTCATCAATTGGGGAATGGCTGAACAAGTTGTGGTATATGGAATACTATTGTGCTTTGAGAAGAGGGGAGTGGTTTCAGAAAAAACTGGAAAGACCTATATGAGTTGATGCAGAGTAAAGTGAGCAGAACCAAGATACAACGATATTGTAATGATGATCAGCAATGAAAGACTTAGCTACTCTCGTCAATATGATGATCCAAGACAATTCCAAAAATGCTATCCACCTCCAGAAAGAGAACTGATGAAAGTTAAAATATAATTTTTTTCATTTTTCTTATATATTTTTTGCAACATGGCTAATACAGAAATATATTTTGCATAATTTCACATACATAATTGATACAATGCTTGCCTGCTAAGTGGGTGGGGGAGGGGCAGGAGGAAGGGAGAGAATTTTTTTTAACTAATGTTAAAAATAAATAATAAATTGAGGGAGGAAAAAGACATTCACCAAAAACTGGATTCGTGCCACCAGCTCTTCTAGGCTCCATCTTGGTCCTATAGTTTCTCACTATCAGAATGACCAGTGTCAATCCTGTAAAAGTCTTTGATGTTCAGCTGAATTCAGAATGTGGCAAGCTGAGCTGCTTCCTACCCTTACCTGTAATGATGTTCATTTCATATGCCAGCAAGGCCTCTCTCATTTGTTTCTGGGAATATTTACATCCATGGTGGAGATCAACTGACCTTATTCCATTTCTAGCAACCAGTTGCTGCTCCAAACCTCTTCTTCATCCTCCCACACCACTGCTGATCAAGAGCTGGAGAAAATCAGGCAATGGAATCAACTATGTACACCAAAAATTTATGTTATCTAACCTAAACTGGGCCTTCACTGCAGCAAAGTGACTCGATTACTCCTTAATTCATTATCTATCCCACTCACCACAATGGTTGTTTCAGCCTTCTCCCTTTCTATGTTTCACTTCAGACAACGGAGGCCACAGCAGTGAACTCCCACTTCTCTCCTTCTATACATCTCAAAACCCCTTGACAAAATAACCCAACTCTCTCCTCCTTCCCTCTAGTCTCTGCTAATGAAGTGGCACTTCATACTAAAGCTAACGTGGCTTAATATCTGTTGATTCATTCCCTGTTGCCCACAAACATGCCCAAGTCTCCCCACATCCTTAAAAAACCTTCACTAGACCCTACCATGTTCTCAAGCAAATGTCCTATATCTCTCCTCTCTTTCATATAAAAATTTCTAGGGAAAAAAAAATCTATACTCGCCTCCACTTCCTTCCTCTCATTCATTCTCTTTTCAGCTCTGCAATCTGACTTCCAAACCTCATCATTCAACTGAAATTAAGTTGTGATGGAACGCTACTGTGTTATAGGAAATTATGAGCTCACTATACTAATTGGGCTGAAAGGGCTCTGATCTTCATGTAAATTACTTCTCTAAAAACTATCAAATATATCATATAGAAAGCACAATGCATAGTAGAATTGAGTTTGTAACTGAAGCTTTGAAAGACCTTGATTCTATCTCTTCTTTTTACTACAATAACATGTTATTCTTTGTTTGTAAGGCAGTTAAATTTTCATTGTAAGAGAAGGAAATGTATTTTTCTTTCAGAATGATGCAATGATTTTATTTGCCAACATACCAGTGAAAACAATTGAGCACTCTGACCAGAAATGTTTAAAATGATGGCTTATAGCAACTTTACAATAAATAATTTTCTCTAATTAAAAAAAAAAGAAATTATGAGCTCAGCGATCTTAGAAAGGCATGGAAAGACTTGCGTGAAATGATGAAAAGCAAAGTCAGCAGAACCAAGAGAACATTGTATACAGTAACAGCAACATTGTTTTAAGAATGACTTTGAGTGACTAAATCACTTTGACTATTATAAATACAAAAATTAAGAATAAAAGACACATGAAGAAAGATGCTATCTGCTTCTAGAGAATGAACTGATAAATACACACACACCTATTTGTGCCTAAGAGTAGCTGTCTCTAGAGCAGGGAGAGAAGAAAAAAGGGAAAAAAAGAAATTTACATGACAACTTTGTTGTATATTTGGTAGGAAAAGCAAATTGTACATGGTAGATTTGCAGTTTCATGTACAATCATTTTTTAATTGTACTGTGTTATGAAAATGCTTGTTTTCTTCCATGAATTGAAAATAAAATGTTTAAAATTTATTTATTTATTTTTAGTTTCCAACATTCACTTCCATAAGATTTTGAGTTCTAAATTTTCTTCCCATCCCTCCCCAAGATGGTGTGCAATCTGATATAGGCTATACATGTACATTCATATGAACCTTATTTTTATATTAGTCATGTTGTAAAGAAGAATTAGAACCAATGGGGGAAACCACAAGAAAGAAGAAACAAAGAAAAAAAGAGAGAGAGCAAATAGTATGTTTCAATCTGCATTCAGACTCCACAGTTCTTTTTCTGGATGCAGATAGCATTTTCCATCATAAGTCTTTTAGCGTTGTCTTAGACCCTTGCATTTCTGAGAAGGCTAAGTCTATCAGAGTTAGTCATTGTACAATGTTGCTATTACTATGTATCATGTTCTCCTGGTTCTGCTCATTTCACTTAGCATTAGTTCATGTAAGTATTTCCAGGTTTTTCTGAAGTCTACCTGCTCATCATTTCTTACGGAACAATAGTATTCCATTACATTCATATACCACTTGTTCAGCCATTTCCCAATTGATGGGCATCCTCTCAATTTCCAATTCTTGGCTACCACAAAAAGAGCTGCTATATTTTTGTACATGTGGGGTCCTTTTCTCCTTTGTATGATCTCTTTGGGATACAGACCTAGAAGAGGTATTGCTGGGTCAAAGGGTATGCACAGTTTTATAGCCTTTTGAGTATAGTTCCAAATTGTTCTCCAGAATGGTTGGATCAGTTCACAACTCCACCAACAATGCATTAGTGTTCTAATCTTCCCATATCTTCTCCAACATTTATCATTTTCCTGTTATGTCATGTTAGCCAATCTGATAGGTGTGACGTGGTACCTCAGAGTTGTTTTGATTAGCATTTCTCTAATCAACAGTGATTTAGAGCAATAAAATAAATTTTTAAAAAATTATTAATGACTTTCAAAACCTGGGCTTTTCCTAACCTGTTTGGATAATGCTGACCACTCTTTCTTCCTGTTCATTCCTCTTGGTTTTTGTGTGACCTGTCTCCATTTTAGATTCATCACCTTCCCCCTAATTGTGGATGTACTCCAAGACTCTTGTTTCTCCCCTCTTTCACTTGGTGGCTTCATCAGCACCTAAAGATTTAATTAACTTATACATGGAAATGACTCCCAGACCTATATATCCAGCCCAGGTCTCTCTCCTGAGCTCCTAATTGCCTATCTCCAACTGCTTGTTGAATGTTTTAAACTGAATGTCCCATAGGCATCTTAAGGG